CTTGGCACAAACCATCCTACCCACAACCCACTTACCATCCTTAAAGATAACCCCTCAACTGATTTGTGCTTAATTTTTAATGGACGGGCAAGTGGCACAACTCAACTGACGTTGAATTTTCACATCCTCTCTTAACACAGAATATTTATTAACATACTAGAGTGACCAATGCAACCTTTCTCCTCTTGCAGTTGTTTGACAGGACCAGGGCTAGATTTTTAAAGATACAGCTTTGAGATGTACAGAGATTTAATGCACGCATTAGTAGTGATAGTGAATACTGAATAGAGACACACTCATACTTGACTTTTTGTGGTCCCTTTGCTCTGTTTTTCTTCACCACACTTGTTTCCAAGAGATTAACATATAATAACACCTGTAATTTTCACTCACCATTTCCCCTGGTTAGAATATCAGCATTTATTTAAAATATTAGTATTTATATTATAATATTATATTCACATTATAATTAATTATATACATTTAAATTAATTAATTTTTATTTTAAGAATATTTTATTGTATAGTTTTATACTTAAAAATATTTTATTGTATAAATTTATATCTAGAATCTTTGTATATATAAACAAAAAGGCAAAAAAATCTTTCTTCAAATATTTATCCTTCTTTTCTATCTCTAATACCCCTCAATTGCATCATCTCTTACATGGGAAAAATTCCATTGTATCACGGCAGAAGTGGTATTCCAGTCCACAACGGGTGTGTCCCAACCCAATTGACACCATAAGAAAATGACCCTTCCAAATTATATACATTATATGTTGAGATAAAAAATGGTGTCACTTTCTCATATTCTAGTTAGGATACCACGCCAAAAGTATTCTTGCAATGAAGTAAACTTTCTCCTCATATATCTATAAATCTCCTCCCAGTGATCTCTATCAGCTTCCAGTACTCTCTTTCATCATTCAGCAAAAATGGATCAGAAGAAACCGTATCTGGTTGTTATTCTCATACAGTCTATCTATACCGGTATGTTCTTGATATCCAAGGCAGCCTTTGATGGTGGAATGAACAACTTCATATTTGTCTTCTACAGGCAGGCTGCAGCTACTGCTTTCCTGATTCCATTTGCCTTATTTTTCGAATGGTAACTAATTGTTTCACTTCCCTCCTTAGTGTGATATATATATATATCTCAATTTTTTTCGACACACGTGAATGATTCAAAACTGATTGTTTTTTCTTTGAACCAAGGAAAAATGCCCCCAGACTTTCATTTGTGTCTTTCTGGAAGCTATTCCTACTCTCTTTATGTGGGTATGTACGGACCAAGCTATGTTTAACATTAATTGCTTTAAAAAACCATGATCTTAATACATTGTTTTGTCCATTTTTCCTTCTAAATATGAAGGGTAACTTTGAGTTTGAATATCTATGGTGTTGCATTGATTTATACCTCTGCATCTCTTGCTGCTGCAACTACCAACTGCCTCCCTGTTATCACCTTCCTATTGGCGGTGTTACTCAGGTGATTTTTCCATTTCCAAATGTATAATTTGATGAATTGATGGTTATTAATTTTAATAACTATACTAGTGTTTAAAGACTTAGTTTCGTGGGTTCTTCCATCAACTCCATTTTTCTTTCTAAGAAG